CCCCCCCAGTTTTGGTGCAAAACAATCAGTCGGTGCAGACATGCTGGTGCCATCCTCACAATTTTTTTCCAAAAGAGCACCAAGAAGGTGTGTAAGTAAAAATGAGCCATATACTGATGGGTATGCCAATGAGGGTCACCCACAGGGTCCCAAGAGCTGTCACAAGTCACCCATGTGTCAAGGCACTGTCTTGATTGCAGGTATCCCATAGCTACTACACTCACCTGTGCTGCTGCCAGTCATGACTGCACAGTGTCAGCTCTTCGTTGGAAGAGGACTTGGTGGTTGTGGTGCCTTGATACCTACCATAGTTCTTGTGGTGTTAATGATACCTATTGCGACATAGCACTGTCCATCACACACCCCTGTTTCAAACCTTGGCTAGTGCAGGGAAAAGCTGTTTTCTGGGGAGATGGTGCAGGATTCTTGCAGGGCAACGTTTTGGTTTTTTTCTGGGGAGATGTTGCTTTCAAACTTGGGTTCTTGGAGGCCTGGGCTCTTTTCTGGGGAGAAGTTTCTTTCAAACCAGGGTCCTTGCAGGGCAGGATTTTTTTTCCTGGGGAGATATTTTCAAACCCGGGTTCTCGCAGGGCATGGCTGTTTTCTAGGGAGATATTTCTTTCAAACTTGGGCTAGTGCAGGGCACGACTCTTTTCTGAGGAGATGTTTCTTTCAGAACAGGGTTCTAGCAGGGCAAGACAGTTTTCTGGGAAGATGCTTCTTTCAAACCAGGGTTCCTGCAGGGCAGGGCTGATTTCTGGTGAGATGCTTCCTTCAAAGGGCAACAACTGGAGAACGAGTAGGCACACCCAAGAAGTATCTACCCTTTTCTGGATGGATACATCTTGGGTGTACCTATTCATTGATTTGGTAAAAGCCAGTATCATGCCCCCAGAGTGCAAGAATGGGTTCCAGGGGTCATCCTAAACTCCACATTTGAATTTGAAGTGGATAGGCGGTACATCACCTTCCCCACACCCATCCACCATGGTAAAGGGCAAAGGCTCTGCTGTGCCAACACCCAGTGTATGGACACCTGACCAGGGTAATCACTGACATGCAGATAAAGGTCACTTGCAATGCTAATTGATTGTATTAAGCTCCCATTGCTATTCAGAGCCCCCCACCCACCCTGGTGAACCACCTTGGTGGTGCTGTGTGCTGAAAAGCAGCCCTGCTGCATAAATGCAAACAACCTGGCTTTGTGGAATCCAGATGGGATGAGTGAGGAGATTCCAGATGAAATGCGTGAGAATATGGGCATACAGAATCATGACAAAATAAGTGAGGAGGCCAAAATGGAGAATCTGGATGAAATGGCTGAGGAGAAGGAAGAACTGTTGTTAAGTATCCTACTTCTGGCTTTGGACTGGCTGTATAAAATAGAGGCGCAACTAATGATGGCAGCATATGCTATATTGCTGCTTGTAAACTCTTGTGAAGAGATGCCAGCATATAGAATTGCCTCATGAAAAAAGGCGCTTAGATTTGCGGTGGAGTGGGATAGCCAAGAGGCAGGCAAAGAAGTGGGGGCTGACAGGGCTTTATGGGTCACCCTCAGGAGCAGCAGCCACAGGGTCTGGGCCCACGCAAGCAACTCAGACTGCTGAGTGCGAATCGTACTGACCACTTGGAACAATCAACAGTGGCTTGAGATGTTCCGAATGACCAGGGAGACATTTAATCACTTGGGCCAAAAACTGAGAGGCAGGACCCTGTCATGTGTTGAGCCATCATGCCGGACAGGAGGGTGGCCATAGCCATTATGAAACTGGACACCCCTGCCAGCCTCCACTACATTGCAAACCAGTTCTAAGTGACTCCCTGCACGGCCAGGCTGGCAACTCATGAGGTAGGCCAGCTACTGCAGAACATTGCAACGAACAACTTTATTTGCCTCGGTAACTCCCAGGAAGTTATTGATGGCTTTAATGCCATGGGGGCTTTAGACAGCAGACACACCCCTGTGCAATCCCCCTCCTGGGGGGAGGAGGGGCAGTCATTCATGAACAGGAAGGGATTTGCCTTGGTGATTCTGCAAGCCATGGTGGATCACAAACATTTATACAGGGTGGGCAGGCAGCACGCATGATGCACATGTGTTTAGAAACTCTCTGCTGCCTGAGGGGAGGGGATGGAGGGGATGGAGCAGCTGCCCAACCTGGGGAACGGGGTTATTGTTTGCAGGCTGGCAGCCAAAAGCAGAGGGGCGGGGACACGCACAACTCAGTGACCTACACCCAGTAGCCTAGCCTCCCTGGATGGACCATGTCCTGTGAAGGGTTAATTAAACCTCTCCTTGACCCAGGTAGGGTGGGGGAGAGGGTGGTATGAGCAGCCTGCAGGAGTCCTCAGCTTTTTTGGTGTGTGGGGTGGGGGGGGTGTTCCTTGGTTGTTGGGAGGACAATAATGCTCCTAAAGGTGTCTGCAGCTTTTAATGCTATATCCAGCTATCCAGCCAAGCGCTTGTCCACGTAATTGGCATTTACCTGCTAAACATGTTCCTGGTTTAATTTTCCTTTCTTAGTTTATGATGACTAAATAAATAATTTGGACATGATTTACCACATAAGGGCTTATTATGCTATAAGTAGTAAAAATGAACTAGGGGGCACATCAGAACAATTTTATCCTCCTGGCCTTTCAGTACTACCTTACTGCCAGGTGGCGCTTTAGGACAAGAAATGCCCTGCCGCAGCACTTCTGCCACTAGTTTTTCCTGAGTGTAAGTTGCACAGGGTGCTCAGGCAGCTGGGGCACAAAAACTTTCCGTGCAAAGCCCCACAGGGCTCCCCAAGTGTACACAAGCATTGCACCTACCCAAGGCTGGGTGGGGGTGGGGGTACCCTTAGGACCGCATGCTGTTTCCACCTAGTGCTGGGTGCAGGGTACCCTTCAGGCTACCCATTCATCACCCCCTGCCCTAGCCTGGTGCTGCCTTGCTTTTCCTGGGTGCAAGTTGCATGGGGCGCTCGGGCAGTTTGATGCAAAATCTTTCCATGCAAAGCCCTGCAGGGCTCCTTACAAGTGTACACAAGCATTGCATCTCCCACCCACCCACTTTGCAAAACAGCCCCAAGCAATTTTTCCCCTCGCTATTTTTTGCACAAGGAAGGGTTCTGTTTTGCCAGTTTTGGGGGGGCTGCGCTTTTTGTGCGCTTTTCCAGCCTGTGGGAGTTTTCGCACACTTACCAATCTGGCACCAAGACTGTCTGGTTTGGGTTTTTTTACACCAGAACAAGGTGGGGGGGGGGGGGGGCCCCCGGGCTGAGTGCCTATAAATTCATGGAGCAGTGAGTGAGTGGGATGCATTGCTGAAGCCCATCCAGGGAACCATATGTCTGCGATGTGAATGTTCGATGGCCTTCAAGATTAACCTCTGCTTTCTCCTTAGCCCCTCAGGATTTGAGGAAGACATTGTCTTTAGCAAGCAGGACATGCAAAGATTTTGGCTTATTGAGTGACCTCTGTCTCAAATGTCTGTAAAAGTCATTCTCCTAGATTAGCATGAAACCACTCCTGTCAATAGCTACAGAAACCATGTGCTCCCTGCAACCGCAGGTTGCCTGTACTTTTTGAAAAGAGCTGACATGTTACCATATTCCTAAAATGGTAGCCTGTGTGCTTGAACACTCTAGATCAAACCATACATGACCCATACATGAGAGATCTTCTGGTCCACCACCCCCATCCTCCCCCACTGTAAGGACCCTGATCACCCTGTGGAAATGGCTCAGAAAGGATTTGTTTTTGCTGAATATATAAAGGAAATGAGTACCATTGATCCATTCTAACTATTTCAGTCTTTCTCACCTGAAGTGATAACCCAACATTTTCAATAATTTCCAGCACAGTAGTTATGTGAGTATGCTTCTGAATGCCATGGCCTAGACTATCAAAAGTAAATAACTGCCTCAAGTGTCTGGGGATTGCAGCAATCACACTTCTTTTATGCCTCTCTTGATAAAAAGTTCACACATCCCAGGTCTTCGAACATACTAGAGAACAGGTCCTAGCAGGAGGCTGTACAGTGTATCATCTGCTCTGCTTTACATTTTGTTGGCCATGCAGGGGAGCAAGAAAAATCAAATTTTGGAAGATGTGATGGATCCCTTGCAAGAATGGGGACCAAACTGGACTTATGCAGAAGTTGAGGCACTGATTGACATTTGGGGTGAAGGGAATGTCATGACACAACTGGGAAACCAGAGGAATAAACCTGTTTACGTCTCTATTGCTGAGCAATTAGAGCTACTTGGCATCAAATGCAACTGGGAACAGTGTTGCGGTAAGATGAAGGCCTTAAAGTGTGCCTTCCATCGCGTAAAGCACAATACTTCTCCGTCTGGTGCCTCACGTAGAATGATCCCATTTTACGACAGGCTGTCTATCATCCTTAAAACAGATGCTTCAGAGGCTTGCGTGACCGAGTTTGGTACAAGAGGTTTGCATCACAAGGAACCAGAAACTCCCTGGCGCCAAAGTACTTCTCAAGCCACAGCTACTTTGCAAGTTCCACGCAATCAGCCTCCTCCTCAAGAACAGAATCAGTCACAGACAAACGATCTCACTTGGAACTGCTCAAGGGACCTCTTCAGCACGCAGCCAGAGATGAGCTCCCCCTCTACTCTTATCAACCTATGCATTTTGGTACCAGACACCCAGGAGGTTCAACAGATGCAGGACAGAAATAACTTTCCTGTTCATGATGGGGAAGAGGACTCCGACTCAACCTTCCTTGTGTCGCAGGCAGAGATGACCCAAGCAGGGTGCGGGGTCCAGGGCAAATCAGCCTGTGCAGGGCCCCACCCCCAGATGCGAGGAAGCCGGTGGCAGATTCAGTGGCGAGGGTGGGGCGGGGGTGGGTGCCGAGTGGCAGATTCAGAGCGGCAGATTCAGCAGCGGATTCAGTGGCAGTGGATGGGGGGGGTGGTTGCTGCGCAACTGGATGTGAAGCCAGCAGCAGCGCAGACTAGCCACGCTGCTCCACCCAGCTCTGCAGGGCCCCCCAAAGCATGGGGCCCAGCCAGGTGCCCTGATTCACCCTAACCCCCTCCAGGGACAGCCCTGGTCGCTGGACTCGTCAGGTTCCAAAGGGAGTGAATAGGTTTCTGGGAAACTGCACCTCAAACTGTTCAAAGCAAAAAATCCTGACACTTGCCGACCAAATCTCTGAATCTGAATCAAATTGGGAGACCCATTAACAGGTCTAAATTGAATCCAAAGCCTCTGAATTGATTTGGAAAAGATTTGGAGAGATTCGGCGATTCAGATTAGCCAGGAGAGGCAGGCACAGCCAGGAGGATGCCGGTTCTCCCGCAGCTCCTCTAGCTGTGCCTGCCTCTCCCTGGGTGGGGGGAGCCATGGGAGAAGCCCCCATGGCTGCCCTGCCCAGCCCCATCCCCTGCCTGGCCCCAGCCTAGTCCTGGCACTTTAAAAAAAAATAACAGTCCCGCATTCACTGGCTGCAGCAGGGGCTGTGGGGACTGTGGGGCCTCCTGTCAGAGCCCAGTCTGGGAATAAAAAAAACAAAAACAACAAAACCTCGCATACTCATCGACAGTAGCAGTGGATGTAGGGGCTCTGGGGCCATGTGGCAGAGCCCCCCCACACAGCCCCCACTCCCTGATCTCCCCCTGCACCTAGCCCCACACCTAGGGGCTGCCCCATCCAGCCCAGCCTCCTGGCACTTTAAAAAGAAAAAAGCCCCACACTCACCAGCTCTGGCAGTGGGGATCAGAGCCTCTGGGGGCTTGTGGCAGAGCCCCCAAGTGCAGCGTAGGGCAAGTGGGGGGCAGCAGCAATCGCCCCCCACATCAGGCATCTGCACAGCAGCTGCCCCATGGTGCGGGTTCAGCTCAGCTCAGCAGAGCGCTGCACGCTGTCTGGGAGCTGGGGCCACTGGGGCTGAGTGGCACCGGGCTCCAGGTGACTGCTGGAGCCGCTCCATTTCCCAGACAACATGCAGTGCCTTGCTGAGCCATGCTGCACTGGTCCCATGAGGCAGCTGCTGCATGGGTGCCAGGCAAGGAGAGCGATCTCCACTGCCCTGCTCAGCCTGGGGAGGCTCTTCCATGAGCCCTCAGAGGCCATGATTCCCACTGCTGCATCCGGTGAGTGCGGAGCTTTTCTCCGCTTTATTTTTTTTCTTAAAGGTCCGGAGCTGGCCCATGCGGGGCACTCATGGCTGGGCTGGGGGAATGAGGGCGGGTTGGGGGGCTCATGGAAGAGCCCACCATGCAGTGTGGGGCAGTGGGGGGCAACAGGGCTCTCCTCCTGCCCAGCAGCACCTGCCGAGCTGGGGCTTTTTTTCCCCAAGTGCTAGGAGCTAGCGTGGGCGGGGCAGCCATTGCTGGGCTGGGAGAGGGGTGGGGAATGGGCCTGGCCTGGCTGATTTGGAGATTCAGCCAAATCAAATCAGGACAGTGATTTGAATCACTGAATCGAATCACTGTCCCCCGAATCAGCCAAATCTGAAGCAAATACTAGCCGCTTCGCACAGGCCTAGGGATCACCCTGTCTGTCCAATGCAGACAGCATGGGAGCCTTGTAACACACTGAACAACTTTTTGTCCTGTTTCCTTTACCGAAAGCTGAGCTTGCTCAGCAGGGGCTCAGGCATAAGGTTGTAGCAGTAAAAGTATAAGCAGTAGGTGTGGTAGAGATGATAAAACTTGCAAATAAAAACAAATTGCAACTCTCTAAATGGTCTAATAAAAGATATCACCTCTACCACACTGACAGGAGGGGCTCAGCACACCACAGCATTAAATCTACTGCCTTACAGCAGAATGACAGAGAAAAACCCAAGACTGTTATTATGAGCCCACCATGTTTCAAACAACTAACAGGCATAAAACAGTTTCATGCTGACAGCAGTTTTCTCCAGCTAACTTATATTTTGATATAGCTTTCCTAATGGGAAATGCAAAGTGTGTGGGAGGGGGAGATGGTTGCCATGGTCACTTTACTATCATCTCCTCCAGGAGTCTGCCAGGGGTTCTGTCTTTCATCTGCAGAATGTGCTTCTGTCCCATTAATGTTTTAATGCTGTGTGTAACAGGGTCCCTGTCAGGAGCCCTGTTACTTGAAGAAACACCTGGGGGCTGTTAAGGATGACACCTGGCCAGGTGAGGGAAGAATTCCCCACATTGCCCAAGATTGCCAATCAGGCAGCTTCTGGGGATAAAGCCAGAGGAGGGACCCGGAGAGACTGCCTTCAGGCATGTGAAGGACAGCAGGACGACATGGGTCAGACTCTTACCCCGAGATGTAATTGCGGTGGTGAGTTCAAAGGGGGTTGAGACCCCTAGCCACGAGCAGAGAGTGGGGAACCTGGTAAGGATAGGGAGGACCCCAGTTGAGACAAAACAAGGCTTGGCTACAAGCAACAGCCAGGGATGCTCCCACTCCCGAGGAGGGGGCCGGGGAGCAGGCCTTAACTGACGCAGCCACAAAATTGATCAATTACTGGCAGGGAGCAACAGCGTAGAAAAAAAATGGGGGAAAAAGACAGATCTGGGAAAGCCTTGGGATCGTGGGGGAGACAGAGCGTCAACCATACTACCCAGCCCCAGCCAAAACCTGATAGGGCAACCGTGGAAGAGGGTCCTCCAGGGATACACTGGCAGGAAGGAAAAGAGACTGTGGCCACAATCGCTAACGAGTTAATTAGTGCCACAGAGCACCGCACGGGACTTACCTTGAGGCTTCTGAAGGTGGGGAGCCTCTCCCATGCTGACGAGTGGTTCTGGGAGGAAGTGGAGTGGGCTGCCACCTGCAACCTGGGCCGCTGTAAAGGAAAAAATAGAATAAACATACCTGAAGTGAGTCAACATGTTGAGGAAGTTATTCTGCAAGTACCAGAGGAAACAGGCGGTATTTGGTGGGCCCAATAACAAAGTAAATGGAAAGGATGTCTCCTGTTGACATAGTGACTATGAGAGAAGCACTATGGACTCAGTCTAAACAGGAGCCAAATCTTGCCTGATGGTAGCTGGAAAAATCCTCCCCCATAAGAGCCAGGTAGGCTTTTCCCAGGTTTCCCCAGGCTAATATATTTGTTGTTAGGAGCTTATGGCACCCTCAGTTGGTGCTGTGAGTATCTCCCTGCTCCCTGGATCAGGCCCCCAACTCACCTGCCACAACTTGATGGGAAAGTAATTGAAAAGAGGGGTTCAGTGGTGTTTCTGCTCTGTCCCAGAGACAGTAATGCGGCTGATCCTGGGGCTCCATCTCCCCTACACCCCAGTCCATGGCCTCCCAACGGGCCTTGGCGCAATCGGCCTCAGTGTGAAATGCAGGCTTGCAGTTGCAGCCTGCCACTCACCCTTAATCCTTGGCCCTGCTTTGTCTGATTGACAGGCGTTTGAAAAGCCAGCGCAGCACTGGCTCGCACAGCTTCAGTCCTGTCGCCGGCTCCCTTCTGGGTAAGTTTTCTGTGGTGCTGGGGTCCCTGGGCCTTCCTTCGGGAGTGTCAGGGTCTGTTCCCAGCACTTTCAACCCCCGGGAGCAGACCCAGCCACCACAGGGCTAGAAGGGAACTTACAGATCATCGGGTCCAGCCCCCCTGCACTTGGGCATGAAAGACTGCTGGGATCAGATGACCCCAGCAAGATGGGCATCAAGACACTTTTTGAAGATCTCCAGGGTGGATGACTGTACCACGTCTGGGGGGGGCCTGTTCCAAACCCTCGACACCCAGCTTGTAAAGAAGTTTTTCCTTATGTCTATCCCAGGGTTTCCTAATCCTTGGGCCACGGCCCAGAGCTGGGCCATGAAGGGTCGGCTGCCAGTCCACAGAAGGGCTGGCTGCCAGACCAGAAGTGACTGTGGACCAGCAAACCTCAAACTGGAAGTGACTGGAGTACTGCGGACTGGCAGCCAACCCTTTTTTATACAGAGTATGCCAGCCACTGCTGGTCTGTTGCTTCCAGTCTGCGGTTTGCTGGTCCTCAGCATAAAAAGGTTGGGAACCCCTGGTCTAGCCTGATCTAATCCTTAATCAGCTTGTGCCCGTTATTTCTTGTCCTCCCCTGGGGGATCTTTGTAAACAGATGCTTCCCCAGGCCTGATGTACGCCCTTGATATACCTATAGGCTGGCACCAAGTCCCCTCTGAGTTTTCTCTTGTCCAGGCTGAACAGTCCCAAGTCTTTCAGCCTCTCCTCATATGACCTGGTCTTTAGGCTTCTAATCATGTGCATGGCCCTCCTTTGGACTCTCTCAAGCTTCTCCACATCCCTCCTGAAATGTGGCACCCATAACTGGATGCACAACTCTAGCTGCAGTCTCACCAAGGCCAAGCAGAGAGGGAGGATAACATCCTTAGTCTTGCTTGAGATGCCTCAGTAGATGCATGCCAGTGTTTGATTAGCTCTACCAGCTATGGCATCACATTGGTGGCTCATGTTCATTTTGTTGTTTATATGTAGATGCAGACTGGAACCAAAATTGTTTCTGGTCAGCCCTGCCAGTAGGGGGCCAGCCTCAGGCTAGGAGCCTCTCCTGCCCCAGCTGGGGCTGGGAGCTTCTGCTGCCCCAGGGCTGGGTTGGCTCTATGCCTGCCCTGGCCCAAGACCTTTAAAAACCTGTGAGCATGCTGGGGCCTTGAGGCATGTGCTGGCATCCTGTGGTCACTGCTGGCCACAATGTCCCCCAGCACAGGCCGCAGGGCAGCTGCAGCAACCTGCCCACGTCTCGGTGCCACTCCCTGGAACAGCAGTGCCACCAGCTGCCAGGGCCATGCTGTCCAGCTCTGCAGGGGCCTGCAGGCACCTTCCAGGCCTGGCGGCACTCAGGCCCATGTGTAGCCAGCTTCTGGACACCAGGGCCAGCTCCAGCTGGCCACAGGCAACCTGTAGCAGTCTGCCCTGACCCTATAGCTGCTGCCTGACACCACCTCACCACATACCTGCCTGTCCCTCACTGTGCCTCTGTGCTGGGCACTGCAGGCAGCAGCCCAGGCCTGGCAGTATTGGGACTGTCACACAGAGGCCCAGCGAGCTATTGAGGGAGTCACATGCTGCCTCCTGGTTCCCCAACTGGTCTCAGAAGGAGACTGGAGACCTGATAGCACTGTGATTCATAGATTCATAGACATCAGGGCTGGAAGGGACCTCGGAAGATCATTGAGTCCAGCCCCCTGCCCAGGGGCAGGAAGTCAGCAGGGATCATAGGATCCCTCCAAGATAAACATCCAATTGTCTTTTGAAGGTGTTCAAAGTGGGTGCTTGAACCCCCTCCAGCGGCAGTCTATTCCAAACCTTGGGGGCTCAGACAGTAAAGAAGTTCTTCCCTATGTCTAGCCTGAAACGGTCTTTTAGGAATTTGTGACTGTTTGACCTTGTCATCCCTTGGGGGGCTCTGGTGAACAGACGTTCCCCCAGATCCTGGTGAGCACCCCTGATAAACTTATAGGTGGCCATCAGATCACCCCTGAGCCTATGCTTTTCCAGGCTGAAGAGTCCCATGGCTCTCAGCCTCTTGTCATAAGGTCTGTTTTCCTGACCTCTGATCATGTGCATGGTTCTCCTCTGCACCCTCTCAAGCTTCTCCACATCCTTTTTGAATTGTGGAGCCCAAAACCGGATGCAGTACTCCAGCTGTGGCCTCACCAAGGCCAAGTACAAGGGGAGAATGACGTCCTGGGATTTGCTTGACAAGCATCTATGGAGGTGGTGTGAGGCTGAGGTCCTCAGCCAGTTTGAGCAGGGTAGGCGCTCCAACACCCACATTTATGAAGGGCTGTCAGGTCTCATGCAGGTGTACGGGCACAAACTGTTGGCATGGCACTGCCACATAAAGGTCAAGGCCTTGCGGACACAGTGGGTTACTGTCACTGACCACAACCACCGGTCAGGGGTTGCCTGCAAGGTCAAGCCCTTTATGTGGCAACTGGATGATAGTCTCACAACCCTGGCCATAGCTGTACAGTTTATTCGAGCACGGGTGTCCTGACCAAGCCTCTGCTGTAGCCTGGCACCCATGGTGATGCATCTCAGGTAGCCCTCCAGGTGGCAGCAGAAGTTGCAAGGCAGGGCCAGCTCACCTACCACACTATTGAAGCTCAGGGTCCCATGCCAGGTGTGCAGGTGCACCCAGGGCACCATGGCCATCAACAGCAACAGGGTGTAGTGTATCTGGCACCCATTGGTCTCAGGAGACAGCTCCTCCCACTGTGCATGGGACAGTAGCAGCAGGGGTATGCTAAGGGTGCAGCACCATCACAGGGTGGGGGCTGGTCCCAGGGTGCCTCCCTGGAGAAGCCCCCTGAGGGGAAGGCAGAGGTGCCAGCAACTCCACGTCTTAGTCGTTGGGCCCTTGTACATGTTATGCGTTGCCTAGATACACATCACAAAAAGGCGGCAAAAATCTCTGTTTTGCTAGCTTAGTGGCATGTGAAAATACACATTGATGTATTTTTATCATGGTAGATTTCAATTTATTGTGGTAAATTAAACCACCTCTGACACACTTTATTTTTAGTGTGGCCAATTGTTCCAACAGGATTATTTTTATCGTAATAGTTTTTCAATGTGTATTCCCAGACACAAGCAAAACCGGCATTTTCCCTGTTCTGTCATGATTTGTCTATCAGGTGCTCCTTGGGTTCACTCAGAAATCCATGCAATTCCTGTTGCAATGTGGAATGGATGCAAATCTTTATGGGTAAGTCAGTTCAAGACTTTGGGGTTTGCCCATGTGGGTGGGGTTTGCCCACCCAGGGCACCACCAAGGTCCCAGCAGGAGACAGGACCCTCCCCCACATCTCACTTGTTGTTGACAGCTCACAATTTCAGGGCACTGTTGGGGCTAGCACACACCACTGGGGCACTGGTGGGACTTTGGGGGGTGCCCACCCAGTGGACCATGAACCTTTTGCCAAGTGCCTCTTTGAAAGCAAAAAAAAAAAAGCTTCTCTCAGCAATAAATTGTGCACCCCATGTCAAGAAAAGCTGCTGAGGAACGGCAGTTTGGTGTATTAGGGCAACAATTTCCAAAAAGCGCACAGTGTAGAGGTGCTTGCAGGGCAAGTGCAGGGTTGGCAAACAACAGTGACTGGGAAAAGCCTCAGCAGCCCTGGTCCCAATCTCCAAACATGTGAGAACTCCCTACAAATGATAGGGGAGTGAGCCCACATTTCTTTCACATCCCTCTCCATGGTAGAGTGGGCAGCTGAGAGGTGATACAGTTCTAGGGAGGGGATCATCCTGTACTACTTGCTATAGACACAGGAAAAGAGGGAGCAGCTTAGAAGAGCTAAAGTTGAATAGGCTAAAGTGAATACATTTGCACCTACTTCTCTGTTAAAAACATAACCTGTAGCATCTCTGGAAAGCTACAAAGTCAGTCCCCAACTTCGCCAACCTGAAAGATGAGTCTAAAATCAAACAGGTCTTCACTGGATTTATGATTCAAGGTCAACTGGAGTTTAATTAGAGTTAGATGGGGAGGAAAACCACGAGTCCACCCAGAAAGGGTTGCCTTCACGTGACAAAACAACCCAGACTGCTCAGTGGAGAGTGATTGCAAGCCAGGGAGTATTGAGAGAAAACAGGGTCTGGGAAAAGCCTCAGCAGGCTAGACACAGAATGCCAAACATATACAACCCCTCCGCCCCCACCACTTATGCAATCCCCTCACTCATATCCCCACCCCACGAGGACCACATATACAAAGGTTTCCCGGTAGCATCATTGTATATACTCTTATTATTAATGCTATCAAAAAGTGTATTGATATTAACGTTAGACTTAATTGTGAGACATATTCATATTATTAATGCTTTAAACAAGCCTATTGCTATTAATGAATGTTAGAGCACCCAAACAGTGCTATGTTAACAGTGAGAATTCCCTACAAATCCTAGGGAAGGAAGCCAGTATGTGCAACCAGAATGGGGTGCCTTCAAATCACTCTCCATCCCAGACACCTGCCCCCCGGACACACACACTGAGCTGGCAGGGGATCCCATAGTTTGGGGCAGGCACCCTAGGAAGGAAGGCGCTCACCCAAGGTAGGGAGGCAATGGAGAAAGGCAGACCTGGAAGTGCTTAACAGAATGCTTCCCCAAAGCATTATTATTATTAGAGGCAAATTATCATTAGAGGCAGATTATCATTGTGCTATTTTGATTATCATTAGAGGCAAATTATCATTATATGATCAATAGATACAGAGTGTGCAGGGCTGGGTGCAGCCTACTGTCAGGCATCCAGGGTGCAGAAAAGCAGGGAGTTGCAAGGGGAAAAGCCCAGGGAAGGCGGCTTCCTGCCAAAACCCTGTGCACACTTGCTGGGCCACCCGGGGGGGCAATGTAGCTTGGTCTGTGTCTGGCTCTGAATAGTCTGGGGGAGCGGGGTCAGTCCTGGGTTGACCTGTTTGTGCACAGAAACATTAGGAGAAAGTGCCATGGTCTGCTACTGTCCTCGGTGCCAGGGTGAGCTGTCCTGGCAATGGGGGACCTGCCTGGGTGACCAGTGGGTTGACCCTAAAAACAAAACCCCACTAAGGCTGACAGATGAGGCTGCCCACCCATTGGAAGGATGAGGAGACAGTGCTATGGTCCACTCCTGTCCTCAGTGTCAGGGGGCATGGGTGGCTGGTGCCTCCCGAGTCTGACGGGACACCAACAAGGCACGATGGCGGGGGAGTGTGCCAGTACTTCCGTATGCAGCACAGCAGTGGTGGAAGTGCCGGCACTTCCACTGCCACCGTGCTGCCAGTGGAGCCAATTTCAGGGGGGGGCACTAGTGCTCTCCTTGCCCCACTACCAGCCGGAGCGCTCACTGTCAGGGGGAGCACCAGCGCTCTCAGGGGGGGAAGCATGTGCCCCCTACCCTGTGTCCCCCATACACATCGCCTATGTCAGGGGGATCCATCTTGGCAATGGGAGCCCTGCCAGGAGACCAGTGAGGTGACCCTAAAAACAAAACCCCACTAAGGCTGACAAACAGACAATGGGCAAAGCTCCTGGCACCCCCCGTTGGAAAGCCCAATGTACTGCACGGTGCAGAGGGTTGTCAAAGGGTGCAGGGTCAGTGCTGGCATGGGCAGCTTCCCTGTCACCCAGCAATGTTGTTGACCCCATTAACACTCAAAGTCTGTGAGGACGCAAAGTGCCTAGCTTGGATGGAGTCCCATGTAGTGGGTTTACAACATGGGGTGTCACAAAGAGCGGGTAGAGGAAGGCAAGAAAGACCTGAGGCTTGCAGTGGTTTCCTGGCCAGGAATGGCAGGCAGGGTGCACCTCTTGGGGTGACTACCTGTGCCATCCAAGACTTGGTCTTGGGGAAGTGTTGGGATGTTGGTGTGGCCAGGGAGGCCACTAATTTGAATAATTAAATAAATTGTTGGATGCTGGGTGAATTGACTTATGATGCTTGTAGCAATGCCTGCAGGGAAACATGAAAGACTTTCTTGGCCAGCCTTCACCTCCAGCTATGAGGGGATCCCAGGCACCCCTAAATTCTCAGATCGTGAAGGAATGTGTAACGCTGGGGGAGGGGAAAGATAAGTGAGGTGCTGGGAGTGGAAAAGACCTGGAAGGTGGTTTTCCTCCAAAAACATGTGCAGACTTTGGGGGGGAGGAGAGGGGATTGTCACAGGGAGTGGCGTCATTTCTGGGGTCAACGAAGGGGTGCCAGGAGACATCAGGAGAAAGCAACAGTGTCTGCTGAGTTGATTGGTGTCAGGGGGGAGCTATAATGTCACTGCAAGAAATATGTGGGTCACCCTAAATCTAGCACACCAGAAAGGGTAAAGAATGATGTATCATGAAAGCCCTGGGGTGCACCCCGCTCTCACCCCTCCATTAAAGTAATTTATGTTGGTTGGGGGCTACTGGTAGGAATTGGCATGGATGGAGAACACAGGAACTTCTGTTGGTGAAGAATGGGGAGTGTGGGGCAACATTATGGCTGGATTTCTAGTTGCAAGCCCCAAGGTTGGACACCAAGACAGAAAGTTGTCTGCTAGACGATGCAGTTTGGATAGTCTTTGGAGAATGAACAGAAGTGGGTTTAAAAGGGGATGTACACTTTTCCTTGTTTGCAAGTAAACAGTTCTTTACACTTTGAAAAGTTCTTTGGTGAACTTTATTTCAGTGAAAGTGTCACAAACACTACTAAAACAGGTAAACCAATAGTAAGAGTGTTAATAACAGATAGACAGTAAAATTAACCATAAATTGCCAGTCATGTGGATGTATCTCCTCTGGACCCTCTCAAGCTTCTCCATGTCCTTTTTAAAGTGTGGAGCCCAGAACTGGATGCAGTACTCCATCTGCGGCCTCGCCAAGGCCAAGTAAAGTGGGAGGATGACATCTAGAGTCTTTCTTGAAATGCATCGGTAGATGCAAGGCAGGATTTTATTTGCTTTGCTGGTTGTGGCATCGCATTGGTGACTCATATTCATCTTGTGGTCAGTCATGACCCCCAAGTCTCTTTCGGTCATGGTCCCTAATGTCACCTGCCAGTTGGTCAGTGCTCTTAGATATGCTTTGCCACGATTCTGCCAGTAACTCAAGAATGTTTTTCTTCGTTCTTCTTTGTCTTCTTCTGTAATTATGTTGATGCTCAGCATTATCGATTGCTGTTGATGATCTAGGACCCACAGCTGCAGTACTAGGGGTAGAAAAAGAAAGGTCTCAATAGGTGTTAGTCTATTTTAAAATATTTTTAAAAGCTCCCCTCCACAAGAATTACCAACCGGGCTCCCACCACTACCCACCCGTGCTATCAAGCCCCCCCAAGTATTCTAAACCCTCCCAACATATCCTCCCCCTCACTGGGCTGTACCTGGTTACCCTCCTCCTCCCCCTACCCCCAGGATAAACACCTATCAACCACCACTGAGTGCTTTTAACTTATCCCCGCAACACACATTAGGAATGTGCAGGGAACAACTAACATTTGGTTAATGCGAGCAGTCTCCTCACACCCGCCAGACTGAAAAAGCACAAAGCACAAATCTTTTAGCCCTATGTCTCCTACCATAGCTATAACTTACAAGTCACTGGTCACGAGGCTTGTGGCATCTCCTGCACAGAACCAAAAGTTTTATTTTGGTAACCTGAAGCCTCCTGCAACAGAATATTGGTGGAGTTGGAGGCATCTTCTTCCTCATAAACAGTCGTTTGTCAGCCCATCCTGATGATCATCCTCTGTGTCTGCTGCCAAAACATGCGGGGAGACAGTAGTAGAGCACAAGCTCATTTCTGGCTCCATGCAAAACAGGTCCTTTGAGAAGTCCCAACCGAGGTTGTTTGTCTGTGACTGTGACTAAGGCTGATTGTGTGCAGTTTTTGAAGTGGCTGCAACACAGCCCTCGACATTCCCAGGGAAGCCCGCCATACTGTGGCACTGGGGAGGTAACTCTGTGGGTAATCATGGGCAACTGGTGCCTCCTGAGTCAGGGGGACCACTTGCCCCCCGCCCCAGTGGCTGATCCCACTGACTTGGGGGGGGTCCCCCACAACCGAGCCCACTGATCCCACTGACCCACAAGTGGCAGTGGCACACCACTGATGCTTCCAGGTGCACTGCTGACAAATCCAGGAGAGCACTGGCACTTCCGGAAGAGCCCCAACTCCCCAGCCAGTGCTCTCAGGGCAGGCACCAGCGCTTGCGCCTGCCCCCCCTGCCTGGGAAAGCTGGCTGACAGGGTGTGCAGCAGCACTCTCCAGGGCTGCACATGCACCCCTGTGCACCCCCAATACGTTGCCACTGTGGGTAACTCTGTGGCAGTCTCCTCTGGCACACCTGTTGTGCCAAATGCCAGCAGGCAAACATCTCCAGCATTTCTTTGAAGGTTGGTAGCCAGCTTGTCATAGAATGGGATCATTCTGTGTGAGGCCCCAGAATGAGAGTTATTGTCCTTAACACAATGGAAAGCACACTTTAGGGCAGGGGTAGGCAGCATTTTGTGGTCAGAGCGCCAAAACCCCCCACAATGTCTACCTTGGAAGGTGCTGGAGTGCCGGCATGCAAGAAAAACAAGATGAGGGCGGGGGGTACATGACAGGATGCACTGCATATTAGTATAGTTAATAATCATAAATATTGACCTTTTTATGGTAATTACCAGATTTTCTAAAAATTGTAAACCTGCTGACTTAAATAAAACTTCAGATACTATCTTTGGTCTTGTGTATTTGTATTGTGTGGATCCCCACACAAGTGTGCCAGTACTTCCGTATGCAGCACAGCAGTGGTGGAAGTGCTGGCACTTCCACCACCAGCGTGCTGCCAGTGGAGCCAATTTCCCTTTGTGAGGCTAGGTGATGGCATTGAGAAACTTATTCAAAAAACTATTGTGCTGGTGATTGGTGAAAATGGTGGTAAATTACCGCAGGCAAGAAAATCCAACCGTTTTAGAATTGACCTTGATGGAAAAACATTTCCATTCAATCATCAAGCAATCCATAGCCATAAAAGCCCTGCACGAACAGTTTCCACAGGGAGATCATGGTTTTTGCAATTGCAGGGAGGGTAATTTGGGGTCTGGTACACAGCATAGACCAAGTTGAATATTCCATGTCCTTGAGTGGAAATTGTGGAAGTGGACCCACTCCTGTGCCCTGGAGGTGCTGGGTGCCAGGCTACAAGCAAGCAGTGAGTCATTTTTAAGATCTGGAGTGAAACCTAACCTTTGGCCAGTGGGCGGGGGGATAGGGGAGGTTTTCACTGTATGGTGCAGAGCCCAAGTGAAATATTAAATGTCCTTCACTCTCCAGGTAGTTAGTTGTTAATTGTGGGACCAAACCCCTCCTAGTGTCCATGGGTTGTGTGGGGGGAGGTTTGGTTTGGTCACAAATGTACAGGCAGCCAGTCAGTTTTCAGTTCTGGCAGACAAGCCTACCCTTTGATTTATTTATTTACGTATTTATTTGGGTGGGGGTAGGGGTGGGCATGCTGGGTTTGGCACAGATCAAGTGAAATACCAGAAGGTAATGAAGGAATGAGGATTTGGTAGTAGGAAAAGGGGTGCTGGAAAGGATAACTAAAGTACTTTGGAGTTGAAAGCATGTCAGCTGTGTTAAACCAAAGCAGGAGAGAGGCAGTTGGGCATTGTAACAGGACCTGGTGCTGAGGAGAAAATTCAGGCCTGGAGTCATGGAGTTTGATGTTAAATAGGTCAAGCTGTGAACTGTACCCAACCCCACTGGTACCAAATGATGTCAGCCACCTGAAAAGGTATAGAGGTAACGTGCCATGTGCACTTCAGATAGCCGCGCGTGGTGGAACAGCGTACAGGATGCTGAGCGCCTATGTAAGCCTCTGTGATTGACAGCTCAGTGTCTGACTGGGGCTGTGTGGTGTGTGTTTGGGCGTAACTGGACTGTCTGTGGCTGTGAGGGCGTGTGAGTGACTGGGTGAGAAGGTGTTTGAGGGAGTGTGAGGATTCGTGAGAGAGATGACAAAGAGGAACTGTCGGTGTGTCGTGGAGGCATACCACTTTGGACCCTGGTGTCCTGCAGGGCTCCAGCCCTTCAGTTTGTCCATCGATCATAATCTTCACTGAGGTAGAAAGGGTTGGCTCCCCAGCCCTCTGTCCCTGCCGGGTGTTCTCAGCACATAAGACCACAGCTCCCTGCTTCCCTTACTATCATCCTGTCCCATTTCTCTATTTCTCTTTCCTTTGTCTGTTTTGGCTGTGGGCCACCCCCTCCCATAACAATAGTGGAAGCCAGTTGCCAGCAATGGCTCGAGGGCTGAGAGGACAGAGACCAGAGTTGGTGATCAGCGGCCGGAGTACAATAAACCTCTTCCCATTTAATAAAATTTCCCTCTCTTTTGCTTGAGTCTGGATATACTGTTAATAATAAGTGTTGTTGGATCAGATAAGAGTTATTACTTAGGTAAGTATAGAATTATTTATAGTAGAATTTGCTATCCGTATTTATAGTGTGAGAGTGTATTTTGAACTGTTATACTTACCTGTTGCTTGTGATTTGTGTGATTTTACAATAAACCATTTCTATTCATTTGTTTACATCCTGTGTGAGTGCTCTAATTAATCATTGCTCACTAATTGCCGGGTTAACTAGGCAGTGATCAGATACTCCCCGATTAACCAGTTACCTGGCCTGGGGTCAAAAACCACCCCTCCTTGACCTGGACTAGCTAACAGCCACTGATTGGGTGCTTAATTAATCTTAATTAAGTCCAGGGTCAACACTGGGTTGTATAGCCGTTGACAAATAAATGGTGCAAGTGTTTTCATGCAAATTGACCAGTGTTGCAGGTTTTGAGGACCAGAGACCAGTTACAGGCAGAATTGTGTGTGTGGACTGCTTGCTAAATCTAAGACCATGACTTCCTCAATTCCTAATGGACTAAGCAACAAAAAGACAATAATCTTGATGGCCATAGAAGATTCACATCGCAGAAGTCTGCTTATAGAAGAGGAAACTATAAGGTTTATGGAACTGAGCTGTTGTCTGTTCAATCTGCTGCAAAGACACATTTGGATGTTTGCCTCTATGCACAACTTGATGATTGAACTGTACAAGATGCTGATGTGTTTGGAAGAAGATAAATTGTAGGTTCATAAGGCTATAATGGCTTGCTGGCCATACCTTAAGGGCAACGATTGCCAGGTCTGGACACATGAAAGCAGCTCAGACTGGTGGGAACGCAGTTATGTTAACCTGGAATGATAGTGGTTGGAGACATTATGAATGAGCAGGGACACCTTATTCTACATTGTTAGTATGCTGTCACTTCATACTGAGCGCCAGACAACTGTCATGCAGAAGCCCATTGCTCCAGAGAAGCATGTTGCCAGGGCCATGATGAAACTGGTCACTCCAACAAGTCTGCACTATTTGGTGAATCAGTTTGGTGTGGCTCCCTGTACTTCTGGGGTGGCAATAAGAGAGGTCTGCCAGCTGCTGCAGGAGCTGGCAGTAAATAAATTACTCTGCCTGGGTAACCCCAGGGAGGTGGTGAAAGGATTCAGGGCAATGGGCTTCCCAAACTGCGTGGGAGCACTGGAAAGCGCACACATTCCCATCCTGTCACCATCCCAGAACAACTGATCATTCACTCACAGGAATGGATTTCCTTCAGTCATTCTCCAAGCTGTAGTGGATCACCGAGGAAAATCTACTAACATTTACACAGGATGGGCAGAAAGCACTCACGGTGCACATGTCTTTTGAAACTCACTGCTACCTAGGATGATGGAGAAGGGCCAATATACCCCAGGAATGGAGGAAGTCATCATCTGGGGTGTTCAGTGCCACCCTCATAATTGCTGGTGTGGCTTACCCACTCCTGCCCTGGCTTAGGAAGCCCTATGAGGGGCAAGTGACTGACCCACAAAAACAGACCTTGAACTACCACCTAAGCAAATGCTGCATGAGCGTAGAATGTGCCTTTGGGTGCTTGAAAGCCTGTTGGAGGTCACTCAACAACAGGCTGGAGACAGACCCGGAGAACATCACCTCTTTCATAGTGGCAGCCTGCATGCTGCATATCTGTGAAACAAGTTTTCAGTGAGTCCTGGGCCCAAGACTTGAGGGAAGTGAGAGAAGCTGCAAGATGTACATGGAGACAAGCAGGAAGGGGGGAACTTAGACATTCAGGAAAACAGTGGAAGGGGAACTGCGATCAGAAATTGCCTGGCTGCTCAGGTGGGGGAATGTGCTCTGTAAGTGTGCTGTGTAACTGGATGTTTTAAAAAATTTCTTTCATATTTCATATTAGTTTGTAATTGAATAAAGTCTTTCTGAGAAAATATTTTGGATACCTTTGTTGATAGCAGGCTCTGAGGGTTGATGTGAGAGTGGTTTCATGGGGAGGGGACGAGGGGGGGGGAGTATGGGAAGGGAAGAGGACATCCTCCCTGTAGGAGGGAGGGGGTGCTGTGGGTGTGGGACATGGGGGATGGGTCTAGGGTGGTGAGTCAGGCAGGCACCTAAAGAAGAAAGGACTTTTAACAGAAAAACATGGGGGGTGAGGGAGGGGGAGAAATGACTGTGTGCACTGAAAAAAAATGGTCTGGTTGGTCTCTCTAGGCAGTCCAAGTGTGAAGGCAAATGTTCTTAAGTAAAAGGTGTAAAATACAAACAAAAAAATTAACAAAAGGGGGGAAGTTAATACTGTAATATGCGGAGCACCTACAAACCCAAGGCACACCTGGATTATAGTAGCCAGAGATTCAGGA